TGGGATTCCTGATCTCCCATGAGATTCCTGATTTCCCACGGGATTCTCGATCTCCCTGGGATTCCTGATTTCCCACAAGATTCCCGATTTCCCATGGGATTCCCGATTTCCCGTGGGATTCTCGATTTCCCGTTGAGATTCCCAATCTCCCAGAGGATTCCCAGTCTCCCACGGGATTCCCGATCTCCTATGGGAATTCCCTATGGGGATTCCCGATCTCCCACGGGATTCCCCGATCCCCCGTGGCATTCCCAGTGTCCCGCTGACCGTCGTTGGGCATGGTGAGGATGGGGATCTGGGTGATGGAGCCGTTCCTGCCCTCCACGCGCCCGGCGCGCTCGTAGATGGTGGCCAGGTCCGTGTACATGTAGCCCGGGAAGCCGCGGCGCCCCGGGACCTCCTCCCTGGCTGCCGACACCTGTGGGGGTCAGGGGGTGGTCAGAGCACCCCAAAAACCCCCAAAAAACCCCAAAAACCCCAAAAAACCACGGGAGGCACGAGGGACATGAGTGTCCTGAGCAGCCCAGGAAACCCCAAAAAACCTAAACACCCCCAAAAACTCCAAACACCCCCCAAAACCCCAAACACCCTGTGATCCCCAGCTGTCCTTGTCACCCTGAGCACCCCATACCACTGTGGCCACCCCATACCCCTGTGGCCACTCCAGACCCCCTGTGGCCACCTCAGGCCTCTGCAGCCACCCCAGCCCCCCTGTGGCCACCCCATACCCCTGTGGCGACTCCAGCCCTCCCCCGTAGCCACCCCGGGCCTCTGCAGCCACTCCAGGTCCCTGTGGCCACCCCACACCCCCTGTGGCCACCCCAGACCCCCCTATGATCACCCCAGCTCCCCCGTGACCACCTCAGCCCCCCCGTGGTCATCCCAGGTCCCCGTGGCCACCCCAGCCACCTCTGTGGCCCCCCTAGACCCTTGTGGCCACCCCAGCCACTCTTGTGGCCACTCCACATCCCTGTCGCCACCCCAGACCCCCTGTGGCCACTCCAACCCCCCTGTAACCACCTCAGCTCCCCCGTGACCACCCCAACACCCCCCCCTGTGGCCACCCCAGCCCCCCCCGTGGCCACCCGGCTGTGACCTCCCGCAGCGCCTCGGCGTAGGAGCTCATGTCGGTCAGGATGACCAGCACGTGCTTCTCGCACTGGTACGCCAGGAACTCGGCCGTGGTCAGCGCCAGCCGCGGAGTGATGATCCTCTCGATCCTGTGCCACACCCCCAATTAGCCCAATTAGCCTAATTAGCCCCCGCAGGGAAGGTTTGGGGTGCCAGGAGGAGCCCAGCCTGGGGTGGGGTGGGGTCTGGCAGCTGGCGATGCCGGGGTTTTTTTGGGGGGTCCCCAAGAAGGGAAGGGAACTGGGGGTTACCCCAAAATGATCCGGGGGGGATTGGGAGGGTCCTGGTGGGGGAGAAAGGGAGAGGGAGGAAAAGGAAAGGAGAAAGAGGGAACACAAAGAGAGGGAGAGGGAAAAGGAAGGGGATAAGAGAGAAGGAAAAATGGAGGAGGAGGAAAGAAGGAGAAAGAAGGAAGGAGGAGGAGGAGGAAAAGGAGGGAGAAAGGAAAACGGAGAAGAAAAGAAAGAAAGAAGAAAAAAGGAGAGAGGAGAAGGAGGAAGAGGAGGGAGAAAGGAAAGGAAAAGGAAAACGCAGAGGAAAGGAAAGAGAAGAGAAAATGAGAAAGGAGGAGGAGGGAAAAGTGAAAAAAAGAAGGAAAATGGAGAAGAAAAAGAAAGAAGAAAAAAGCGGAAAGGAGGA